TTAACTTCCCAAACATTGAACACATCTTTTTTTTATCCGTGATAAATAACTTTGCAAACAATGCACTAAGTCCTCATAAGTAACTAACAACCAACCTCAAGCATCTAATTTTAGAAGTCTCAATTCAGGTGTCTCCTGAGCAAGGAGCTTACTTAAACTGCCTAAACAAAGCATCTAGGACTATTTCAGATGCCTAAAAATATCAGAATTCCAGTTATCACTTCAGAAGCGTCTCCCATAGGTCCTACGCCATACCACTGTTGTGAGGATGTCTGTGGTACCCTAGAGTATATGAAATGATATTTGGTTCCTTTATTTGGCATCTGAATCCCACTGTAGGTTGATCAGCTGAATAGCTCTCCACGCCATATTGACCAAATCTCCATAGACTATAAATGGGAGCTCAGACATCACAATCATGTGTACAGACCTACACGGTAGAAACTGCAATGTTGTGTGTTTGATTCTGGGGCTGAGTGCAATATTCAGCTACTTGAAAGTACATCTTCTTCTGTCTGAGATTTCTGCAGACTGACGGCAGAGGTAACACAACACCTACAATAGACCTGCATCCTTCTTGAGCAAAATGCAGGCAAGAAAAGAAATACAAATTAATCTAAAATGACACTGGACAAACAGGTTTAAGAGAATTAATCCATTTTTCAGTAAGCATAGTATATCTTCAATTTCATGGAAGAGAAAAAGTTAACTTCAGTTTATTCCGTGTTAAATTTGGCCAGACGAAGTCTTAACCTTCAGGTTCAGGTGAGCAGAAATCTATTTTGTGGTTACGTGTTCTTCTTTGAGGTTATCTTTGCAAAGATTTCCACCCGTGTCCAACAGGTAAAGTGAGAATCTCTTATACATCCCTCTGAAATGCCTTTTCCATAGAGCCTAAAAGCATTAATTTTTATTACCTGTCTCAGGGGCCTACTTACTGCTAATGCTAAGTATGGCTGGTTGTCTTGTATATCAAGTAACCTCATGACCCAAAACCAAATTGAAACTTTAATAAATCCATCAGGCAGCTGCTCTCTATTGGCAAGATGCTCCTTGGCCTAAATGCTGGTGGGACACCTGGTTAAAACAGTATCTAAAAGCAATTCAGAGTTGGGGGTTACATAGTTACAATATGAATGCTTCTGGAGAATCATAATTCATAAAAATCTTCATTTTGTTCTCTCTTCTTTAATTCACAAGAGCACCAGATATAAGCCTTCCGTGTACCGAAACGTAGGCACTCACCTAAGATATGCAAAATGTCCTCCTGGTAGCCTACTTTTTTTTTCCCCAGTAGATAGATAATACATTTTACATTGAACACAATGTGCACAGAACATCTCTGCAGATAGGGACAGTTCCTGGCCGAGTACCTCTCAGCACTCATGAACCTTGCATTACACTCCACGGCAGAACTCGTTAAGACAGATGGAAGAGAATCTATGATTGCCATTGTACAGGCACTAGGGTACCGTCTGGTAGTAAGGGAGCTGGAGGTCATTACCTCTTTGAGTTACATGGCAGCTAGGACTCAAGTATTTTACTTACTGAGCAAGTGCTGTAATCATTCTCAGGTTTAAAAAAGGAAGACAGAAATCTCCTTAGATGCTTAGAAGCTGGAGACATCTCTCCCAAATCTAGCATATTGAACATTTGACTATTTTAACTAGATATCTAGAATGAAATAGATACTCGATGTAGCGCTCTCAGTGGAGAGAGAGAGACACACACATTTGAGAGTTTCCATAGCCTCATCAAGTGACAATTTTTATATTGGAAGACTCACATTGCTCATTCTCTCTTCACTTTCCAGATGGAGTTTGTAAATAACCACCTGAGGTTAGGTACAGATTAGTAGTGTGTGGATTAATTATATGAAGGCATTCTGGCACCAAGAACAGAGACTTGTCTTCTGGTGTGTATTGTCCTTCAAACTAAAGCCTCTAGATGACCCTCACACACAGAGACCGTGGCAATGACGTAGCTGAGACTATCTGGTCGAACACAAGTATTTTATTCCTATCGTGGAACTAACAGCACGGTTACTTGATGGGAAACTAAGGATACCCCATGTGAAAGTCAACGGGTAAGTTTCGCATTTTTGAGACAGATTTGTTCCATCTCGTCTTAGCAATCAAAATGGATGACATTCAGTCTCTGCAGTTCACCTAGGACTAGCTCTACACCTGCACAGGCCAGTCACTGTGGTAGAACTTGGCATTTCAGATTTGTTTTGACTATGCTCCCATCTAGCGGTGTTTGCATAATACAACTTCCCTTTCTACTTTTTGGGGACTTCATTTTTTTCATGTGGAATTTCCCCATGTTCTTGTGATTCTTTTCAAGCTGATGTAAAGTTGTGCTCTGCCAAGAGATATTTATTCATCAAGCTGTTTCTGTCTAGCCTTGGAGACTAAGCAGTCTGAACATTGACTAACAAATTACAGTCTGCTGGGCTTCCTCAATGCAAGCTAGGAAGCTGAGACTAAAAAAACAGGACCTGGAACAATCATCTCCGTTATTTGTGATACCACAACTAGGAACACAGTCACCCTGCAGAAAGATTGAGCAGCATCTCCAAAGGATGACTGAAACAGCTGGCATTCAGTAGCTATCTGGCACTGAATCCAGGCCCTAGCCAGTTTTAGACTTCAACACATCTGTAGAACTCAGTGCTGAGCTGATAGCAACGATGAGCATCATAGTAATCTTTCACTCAGTTGTCATCCTATCTATCAATGTAATTCCACCCAGGTCCAAAAGCAGTCAAAAAGAACGCTAAGAAAATGCTAATTCCAAACAGTGCGTCAGGAAAAGAATGGTTATTTATGTGCATGAGAGATTGATGACAACAACCTCTCCAAGGCTTTTGTTTGTTTCATTATCCCCTGGGGTGTTTCGCTAGTCTCAGCTCTGAAAAGGTTTTTAAGGAAAGAGCTGAAGGGAGGAACACTCTCTACCTGACAGAATGGAAAAGAAGACTTCGTGTATCCAGTTGGCTTTAAAAAAAAGGAAAATACGGAAATTATTGGAGGGGGGTGTCTTTGCCAAACAAGGAGCTCGATTTCTTTTTATCTCCATGAGAAAAACAAATTTTTAAAGAAAATAAAGAGGGATACAAAACCTTGAGAAGCAAAAGAATTTTTAAGCGGATTTCAATGTTCCTGTGGTTTCAGGGAAGAAACAGTGTTGATCTCAAAGGTTTGTTGATTGACACAGAAACGGGACACACTTCCAACATTTGCATTTGTCAGATGTTGGCAAATTGGATAAAAATTGGGGGTTTGAATGAATAAAAATTCAAAGGAAAATTTTAAATTAGATCTATGGAAAGAAAAGTGTATGTCTTACAAAGTTACGCTGTCTTAAGTGGCCCAGAGGGAAATTATCAGATGTGTATCCTTACGTGGCCTTCACTGCTATGGTGTCCGATTACCTCCCCATAATGCCTACACGTCACGAGCAACGTCAAAAAGGAGGTGCAGTCTGAAAGGCAGAAGATGACTTCTGAACTAATATCTAAACTCCTGCTATTGTCAATGGAAAGAAAAAGATCGTTTCCTTAGATAATTTAGCTCATACAAAGTAGATATGTAAAACACATTGGATGGATTACAGTCCAAAATGCTTGCTTCTCTCTGTAGACTATAAGAGGAGTCTGAGGTGAGGACTTAGATGAAGATGTTCAAGTTAGGTGACATTAATCCCGCTGAAGATATTTCAAATAGATGCTGTTAAATTAGAGCATGAGATCTGGGAAGACAATGGACCGAAAAAAAAAACCTACCAAAGTTGTATTTGTAATAGGGGATGTTTTTAGGGAACCCCAGGGCTGAAGATTGTCCCTCCCAGTCTGTGAAGTGTCATGGCTGGAATTTGTGTTGCCAGGTGTGTAAGCTTGAAAAAATGCACCCCATTAATTCACTGCCAATACGTCTCCCAACTCCAGATGAGCTGACAAGAAGAGCTTATACAGAAGAAAAAAAAAAGAATTATCTGTTCAGTTCATTTGCCAGTATAGCCATAACTGCAGAATTGTGTCTAGTTTTGGCCAGTAAGTATTTTTATTTTTATTAGTATTTTTGTACTAAACAAATCCAGAAAAGGTCAGCCACAGTCTCCAGGGTTTTGGAAAATGGGATTTGTAAGGAAACATAGAGAATGAGGTGATTCAGTGCACAAGACAGGAAAATTTAAAAGAGCACTATGACAAGCAGTAGGATTTGTCTAAACTGTATTTTTCTGATTAAGGGTGTGGTAACTAATATCTGAGTTCTCAGTGACAAGAAATAGGTACTTTCACAAGATGTTTAGTTCTGTTTGGTTTAGGGTGAATTAAACTCCTTAAATCTGGATTCCTTCATTTTATCCATTGGCAAGATTGCAGGGTGACACAACTGGAAGGTGTTTTTGTGCGTGTTTGGAGTTTCTTTTCACAGGGCAAACATATCCTGAGCGTGGTATAGCTGTTCATCATACTGATTTTCATTGGTGGAAGTCAATTTCTTTTTCAGACTCCTTCAAATAAGAACAATGGCTGCTTTAAAGGTCATGCTACGTACTTATATATAGTGAATATATAATATGCATCAATATATATTAGCAATGGAAATATGGCTATGTTACTACTGGAGCAATTAGACCAAATGCTTCTTTTTTTCACAACAGGAGGGAATATGTCAAATCTTGTGATGGCATCTAATGAAAGAAGTTGATTTTTAATTTGCTTGCACAGACTGAAATCGTGTTAGAAAGTACCCTTGTGCCAGAGAAGAAGCAAAGGCATTACCTCAGTTTTAAGTGGTCTTCTCACTATGTGGAGTAATAAGTAATACGACTCTTAGTATGTGAGAAATCTTTATAGCAATCAAGTGACAAGTCTGAAAATGCAAAGACCTTTTTTCACTCTTTGCTTCTATATTTTGTCAAGAAACTTTCATTATTTGAGTCTTAACTGTCAAGGTCTTCATAGGAGCTAACGTTTCCTGTTTTATTACTAGGACAAAAGTTATGACAAAGCAAGAGTGGAAAAACAAGACAGTTGTTACAGAGTTCATCCTCCTGGGATTTGGGAATGGCCCTGGACTGGACTGTCTTCTCTTCCTGATGTTTCTGTCAATCTACATTGTGACCATAGCTGCAAACATCTTCATCATTGTGCTGATGGTGTCAAATTGGCACCTTCGCACCCCAATGTACTTCTTCCTGGGCAATTTGGCTTGCTTGGAAAGCTGCTACAGCTCAAATATCTTGCCGAGGATGTTGCTTAGCTATCTGAGTGGAGACAAAAGTATTTCGGTCAACGAATGTTTTACGCAATACTATTTCTTTGGTTGCTTGGCGGCTGCAGAGTGCTATCTCCTCGCAGTGATGTCCTATGATAGGCACCTAGCGGTGTGCCACCCCCTACACTATCCATCCTGTATGAACGGCAAGCTCTGTCTCCAGTTGGAAGCTGTATCTTGGATAAGTGGCTTTCTATCTAATTCTATACTAACATTACTGATCTCAAATTTAGATTTCTGTGGACCTAATGAAATCGAACATTTTTTCTGTGACTCAGTCCCAATGATAAAACTCTCCTGTAGTGACACTCATGTGGTGGGACTTGTCACTTCTCTTGTGGCGGATGTGTGCTCACTGCCTCCATTTCTGTTGACCTTCTCATCCTATCTCTACATCATTGTCACAATCATGAGAATTCCTTCTGCCACTGGAAGGAAAAAGACCTTTTCCACTTGTTCTTCGCATCTTACTGTGGTGATTCTTTTTTACTCGTCAATATTAACTGTCTATGAACTTCCTCATCATGATACCCAAATCTCTCCAAACAAAGTCTTCTCGGTTTTTTTATACTATTCTCACTCCCTTGGTCAATCCTCTCTTCTACAGTCTGAGAAACAGAGAAGTAAAGGAAGCTCTGCAAAAACAGATAGGTAAATTGCTGGCTTTCAGAAGGCTGCTTTCTGTGAAAAAAAAAAAAGGGAGTGATAATCCTTAATGAGTTGCAGGTTCAGACAAAATTACACAGCTTGTGAATATCGTTGATTTGAATAAAGCTTGAAAACATGTAGCAGTACATCTTAAAAATAAATAGAGAAACAAAATAGTTAAATAATCTTGCCATCAGTTGGAGAGTGGTATGAAGAAAGAACATGAATATGTAGTGAAGACTGTAAAGTAAGCAAAGGAAATCCATGAATGTCATTGTGTATGTATTACTGCACGTTGTATCTTCTCGCCTGTCTGCTTACTTTCTTGTTCCTCATTACAGCCAAAACTCAGTTCAGGAAAAGTTGAAATTCAATTTATAGCAGGTAGGCCATTTCTTTATTAATGTTATGTTCTTGGATTACTCTTAGTTTTCACACCTGTGGTGTAGATGTCTACATCAAAGATAGTTATCTGGACTCCCTTGATTGCAAATGAAGAGAGTGAGAAACATTGCTTGAACGTGGTTCACCTGATCTATTTTGGATGTCTGGTTTTGGTGAACACAAACCACCCTTTAGAAGGGCTCAGTTCAGTATACTAAAGAACTGCTAGCTCATACAGAAGAACATGCAATGTAGACATCCAGTCTAAATTAATTAAATACTATCCGTGTTTGGACTGATAATTAAAACCTTAAAGTGAAAGCGAAACTCCCACAAGAACATTACAACAACTTCCAAAGAGGAATGCCCACTCCGTTGACATTTGGTGGAGAGGAGGGGAGGTAAATGGAAGGGACCGTCTTTACCAAGTTGAAACTAGTTCATTTTGCATGTCTAGTTTTACTGTCCTTGATAACAATGAAGAAATAGGAAGAGCTATTTAGAAATCTTCTGTAGGTTGTGGAATTGTGATTGCTATGTGTGTTCTTATATTTAACATGGTTAAAAAATTAAAAGAAATAGCGGTTAGCAAAGCTTTACACCTCACTGAAATGTCCAGCAGTGCAATAAGCAGTGGAGAAGAGGCAGCGTAGGAACAGGGGTGGCTTTCACAGTAAGGAAACACAGCTTTTGAAAGCAGTTAGCAGAGCAAGAAACGGCTAACGGGAAACATCCCTGGGATCTGGAAGAGGGAGCAGCTGGAGAGGGGATTAGCAAAAATAGAACGGAGTAAGTACCACTTGCCACACAAAGCTGCGTGAGACAGGAAAAGCTTTCTCATCCGTTGGCTAAGTTTAGGCGTTTAATTAGAGCTCCAAAAGCAAGCGTGCACGTCTGTCCCATAGCATATATGTACAATAGACCAAATTAACTAGGCCCATAAATACCTATATTGCTTTATTTACTGCAGTGGATATCCATTAACACTTGGACATCTGCAATACAAACCCTGCATGTGTGTTAGTCACCTGGTTTCCAAATGTACTCACTAAATGGAAAAAGGCACCTCTACATTGTGATTTATCCGCACATTTTGACTTTTGAGGCTATGATGAATTATGCCTAAAAAGTGTCTGTTCCTCTCTTTTGATTATAGGGTAAGCGACTCTATGACAAGCTGCTCAGATGTAGAAATTTAGAACTCAAACCACTTGACAAACATAGGTCTTCAGTGCCATTTGAGACTCCTAGGAGAATCTTAGCTGGTCTCCAGTGGATCTCTATCATATTCGCCAGTCTTAAGCAGATATTTCGGATACTCTAGAGCATTTTAAAAGTCACTAGGTATGTCATCAACAATTAAACCACTGGAGTACAGATATCTGAAGTTAGGCATGGTGAATCTCTCTTTGACATGCTACCAGGTTTCCTTACCTTGTACAAAATACTTTGTTCAGTGTGGGCCTAGGACACTTCTCAAAAATTAGTTTTGGAAATCTCATGCTGAATTTCTGATTTTCTGAAAAGTTCAGGTAAGATCCATTTCACCTGAATTTATCCATTCAACCAGAGGCTTTTTAGCTAAATGACATGCTGCTACTGCCTGCCTGATAATAAAAAGAAGGTGGTACGCCCATCCTCAGACAGATATCTAAAACAAATGGTGTGATTTGGTTTGGGGTTCCTTTCTCTCCATCAAGACAGACTTGATTAATTAATAATTCAAACAAGCATCTAGCGACGGGTGTTTTCCTCCTCCATTAGCTTAAAATGGAGACTCACACTTTGCTATTTAAACTTTATTTTGAATTTAAATTTTAACCTAATTGTTGTTAACTTTATTGCTTGTACTCATGTAAGATTAAAAAAAAAAGCAAGTTAACTTTCATTAATTTAAATTGTTCACAGTTTACTACAATATCAAGGGAGATGTTTTGTCTTCTGAGTATGCTTGCTAATGAATCCAGAGAGGGGTTCCTATCTCAGGAATCAATGTACGACAGCACGTAGTTCAGAACAGCTGAACCACACACTTTCTTGGGGATCCTACAGCAAACTATTCTCAGTTCTGAAGTGTTGCCCAAAGGCAGAAAAAGGTATCCCAGTATCTGAAATCATGAACAAAGGCATCATATCAGAAAACCTGGATTGCTTCTTGTGAAAATTGAGGTATACCAGTATTTTCTATATTATTTGTTAATGAAAATTGGCAAGAAAAATGCTTACTGGTATAGATGGCTCAAGAAAAAAAGTAATTTAATGTTTTTAAAGGGTGGAAGAGAGTGCATCTGAGAACTCCAGATGTCTGCAATGTACACAGTGATGTCTGAGCTATGTGTTAAGACTTTCATGGAGATGTAAGAGATTTGAGTACTTCTAGCAATTAGCTTATTTTAGATTACTTCTGAAGAATGAACAAAAATAACAACTGAGAGTTGCTTCTGTTCTTAGATTTTAAGGGAAGCGTAAATGGGTATCAACTACTGATGTTTGCTATATGGTTGTTTACAGAAACAACACAAAAGCTTTTCTTGATCATTCAGGAAAACATTTCCCTTGCAAAAATATGAATTTTTTTAAAAACCCTCCTTTTTGCACTGAAATGAGGCTTTTTTTTAAAGAAACAAAGTAGTTGCTCAGTTTGAGAAAGGGAGGTTCTACCCACAACACAAGACAATCCAGTTACAGAGTAGTTCAGTAAACTGAATCCATCTAAACCCGTGAATGCAATGGAAGGTGCTCAGGGAAGTGGCTGATGCTATTGCAAGACTGGTATTTGTCATCTTCAACAAATTAGGGTAGGTTTCCAGTGGCAAAGGAAAAGCAAGTGTGGCTGTCTTTAAGAAAGCCAACATGAAAGATTTGAGGAATGTCAGCTTCACCTCAGCCTTGAAGAAGAATATGGAGCAAATCTGCCTGGAACCCATGTCCGGGTACATGAAGAGTAGGAAAGGACGTGTAACAGCACAGATTTACTGAAAACATATCATGCCTGCCCAACCTGATGTCTTTCAATGACTGGCTTTGAGTGAGTGAGGGCAGAGTGGTGGATGTCATTTAATGACTCCAGCAATTCTTGACATAGTAGCCTTGTAGCCAAAATGGGAAGATCTAAACTGGATGGGAAAACATTAGGATGGTCTGGACCATCAAGGCTTTAATGAGTACTGGTCAACAATCCGAGTCTAGCCGGTAGCTGTCTGTAAGAGGCAGCCTTCATGGGCTAATACTGGGACTAATGCTGTTTCACATATTCCTCAGTGACTGGGAAGATGTGATGGAGAACATCCTCAAGAGTTTCTATATGACAGAAATGTGGGGTCAGGGGAAGAGGGCCACAAACAGTAACTTCACGATGTACCAGACAAATGCCAAGTCCTGGTCATGGCACAAAAACCACATAAGTATAGATTGGGACTGAACATCTGAGGAGCAGTGCTGCAGAAAAGGATGCCGGGTTCCTGCTGGATGGCTTGCTGGACATGAACCAACAGTCTGTCCCTGCATTGGAGAGGAGTAACCATCTAGCCAGTTGGTCAAAGGAACGCACCCATCCTCCTCTGCTTGGCACTTGCGAGGCCACCTGTGGAGAAAGGTGTCCTATTTTGGGATCCCTCTATGCAAGAAATTAATAAATACAAGAGATTCCAGAAGAGGTCCACTAAGATGATCAGAGGGAACACCGGTCAAGATGGTAACATACGGAAAGTGTGGTTGTTTTATAGCAACGCAGACTTGTTACTTCGCTTTACTGTGAAAGTGTATAGGAAGGTCAACCAGTGTTGATAATCAAAGTGCAGGTTGGAGGGTGCCTTAACTGCAAACTATTTGGGAGGACCTTTCCCCGCTAATGCTGCTTTCTGCTAAGCATGTAGCTGGTCCTTTCTGCGCTCATGAGTGGTTCCTCCACATAGTGACACTAATAAAGATAACTGGATTAAGTGAGAAATACAACCAAGTTTTCTGACTTACTTTTGTAGCTAGCATAAAGACATGTAAACTGAGAAGGTAATTCAAATGTTTACCTCAGATATGGTTATTTACATCACAAATATCTAAATACAGACAGATGCATTGCAGATGGCCTACAAGAAGAAAGTTTCATACAATACTGAATTCATAAGCACTTGTCCAGTTGTACTGAATAAAGAACAACAATAATTCAAAAAAAATCACCAAATTAGCAGGTCATTATTTTATATTTTAGCAGTGATAAGACCAAATAGTAAAATACATGTTCTGTCCGTCCTTCAGTCTTCAAACATACGACTGTACCATCAAAAATTTTACTCTCCTTTATTTATTTGGAATCTCTATATGCATATATACATGCATGTGTGGGAAAACATTTTTTTTTCTAAAAACAGAGCTGAGAATGTAGTTAATTTCAGTTTTGTAGGAAATGAATTCATATTATACACACAGAAAATTCACAGAAGTGAATTGTTGATGAAATCATATTTCAGAAAATACCATTTGAACTGAAATATGAAGTGGACATGGCAAAATTTTAGCTTAATTAAAAAGGAAAACAGACAAATTATAAGGAAAATCCTAGCTCTTCTGCACTGAAGCTCATTTTTTTCTTATTACCTCATTATTATCACGTGTTGCTTTTTTTTAGTGTGCTTCTCGAAATGTTATTTGCCCAGCTATATTTGATTGTCCCACTTACTAAATAATGGAACCAGTTTCAGAGCAGCTAGCTATTTTATCTTTATCCCTATAAAGACTTTTTTCTCATGTCTTCCTTGTTGGCTTATCTGTTGTTGGAGAGAAAGGTCATCTCCTTTTCTGCCTGTGCCCTACAACTTTGTCATATTCAGCACTTCTGAGTGTTTCCTCTTGGCTGCTATGACATATGATCGATACATGGCTATATACGGCATAGTAATGAACAGTAGAGTGTGTCTTCATATGGTCATGGCATGCTGGATTGCTGCCATTCCGCTTTCTGTAGGACTCACTGGTTGGCTATTTAGCGACCCCTTTTGTGGCTCAAAGGAAATTGAACACCTTTTGTGATATCGCTCCCCTTCTGGATCTGGTCTGTTCAGACACTTCCCTATTTGAGCTTCTTGTGTTCATTGCTACTGTTGTAATTGTTTTGATCCCATTTACTGTGATAGCAGCCTCTTACATTCAGATAATCCATAGCATCCTCCAAATGCCATCTGCTGAAGGAAGACGCAAAGCTTTTTTCACCTGCTTTGCTCACTTCGTGGTGGTGACACTGTTCTACTGCACAACTGGACTGATACATTTAAAGCCAAAGTCCAGTCTCTTGGCAAACAGCAGGAAACTGGTGGCTCTTTCTTATACAGTAGTGACTCCTATGCTGAACCCAATCATCTACAGTTTAGGAAACAAAGAAGTAAGGCGTGGTCTGAGGAAGACATTTGACAGAAGACGATTCTTCAGCAAGGTTCTTGTGCCTAGATAGTCTGATTGATTTTCCAAAAACTGGTAATAACTGAAAGGTTAAAAAAAAAATAATCAAAGAATTAATGCATTCCTCAAAATCCATAAAGGGTTTGGACATTTTAGTTTTTATTGGAAAATACTGAGAATATATACATAATCTGTATAATGAATAAATATTTAATGTAACTGTTCAAAATTTTACAGATACTACAGAAACAAGCCATAAAATCTGTAGATCAACTACAAAATGTTTTAACCTTTTTCACTTCTTCTACACAATGGTTAGCTTTCAAGCGCGTCTAAAATAAATCACTGTCATAAGAACACATGACTCCAGCATAAACAAACCTAACTTGTAAGAAAATTGCAGCAAAGTCAGGGAAAAAGAGTGCATATTTTCAGGAAAAATACACCAACAGTTTGCTAGCATATTGGTATAGTTCATCCCATGGTAATCAGTTCCTCCCACCAGAAAATAAAGAGTAAAGAAAGAGATTCAGTTGACTGGATAGAGGAGTGGGATTCAGTTCAAGATTATGACATTCGACTGTAGGTATTTATACGTAAGTCAGCACCTACGTGCCCATCAAAGTCAATGACAATCTAGGCAATATAATCAGCAGCATTTAGAGAATGAACAACTGAGAGGAGTTTGCTTTGGCTGGTTGAACACAGATAACTAGTACTGCTGGAAATGTCCTACATCATCTTACGTTGGTTTCAGTGCAAAAAAGGTTTGAGTTTCCTATAAGCCTGTGTTGTATCTGTCAACTCAAATGTAACAGATAAACCTGGGGACTGCCGGCAGCCAAGGATGTTTTGGGTCATACCTATATTGCAGCTTAGTCAAGCAATGTGCTCAGTGGTGTACCCAAAAGACCTCCAGCTGCCATATCAGAAGAGTGGCAGGGAAATGCAACCCGGG